GATTGCTGAACAAAAATATGAATCACCGAATTAAAAATGAGTTTAGTGAACAAAAATATGACACATTGAATATAAAATGACGATTACTGAATAAAAATATGAATTACTGAATATAAATTGTATCTTATTAAATATTGCAACAATCCGGCAACCATAGCTAGGAGTATCATGATGTCATTCTGTGAGAGATGAATCAACTGTTTTGGATGTTTCATCTTTCAAAGGTTAGTATCAGCCCAATTCTAGTGGAAGTCATTATTGTGAGCCAATCAGCTACACTCAAATCATTTGAATCATCTTGTGTTAATCTGGAAACATGGAAAGTCCACCATCTTCTTCAGCCATTTGAGGTCAGTAATTTATTTGTCATTCATTCTGCTAATAACCGGAAAAATCGCCAGTTTCACAGTTAAAGTCTTTCAGCAGTTTACATAGCATGTCAAAAGATGGCAAGTCAAAAGATGGTTGCAAGATGTCTCCTAAGGTTATGCATGTAACACTGAAACAAGGTGTAAGTTCATATGTCTGTAAGTGGTTCGAATACAGAGTGTTTGGTTTTCAGTTTAAATGACCTGGGTGTCGCCATGTTTACTTTATGGTAATTTATGATGTTTTTGTGCTGGCAGAGATCTTAATATGGAGTCTACGGAAGAAGATTTGTCATTGGAACTGAGCATATTCATCTGGAATGTGAATTATAGATGATTAAAAGCCCTTTTAGTCTTGTGTCCACATGACCAAAGTCATGTGGACACGAGGTATAAGTGGACCTTTTCTGAATTCCTGTTTGCTGATTCCTGGTAACCATTCTTTGTGTTCCCAATGGATGATTCCTGTGAAGGGCTGTTCTGGAAACTCAAGGGTTAAAAAACTTTGTTTACAAAAGACAGGCAACAAATGTTGAATTGACAGCAGCTGGTGCTATTGATTTTGGCAACCATGCTGTACAGTTTCAAGACACTCTATGTATTCCTTTTATAACAGGGATGCATATAGATCTTAAAGACTGTGGCAAGCTGTTTAAAGAATTTTATTGTGTCCGAGTCCATGGTTCACAAAACTAGCTTGTGATTTAATCAATTTTGACAACAAATGACAGGCTAAAACGTTATAGTGACAGGTTTTAGTCATGTAGACAAATCTTAAGATCACAATTAGTGTATTAAAAACTAACAATAAATGCGTATTTTCTGCAAATAAACAAGCAGGTATAAATCACAAAAATTACTTGCTTGTTGATAGAGTCGAACCTCCCATAAGTGACCACCCAAAATGTCAACCGAAGGTGGTAGCTTACATGAGGTGGTCACTTATGAGATCTTAGACCATATTGCATTAAAATTTGCCTCAAATCAAATCCGGTCAGATCAGGCCAGATAGAGTTGAATCGACTGAATAGTATTTCTAAAAAAAAAGGAAGTGAAAATGCACCCCTGTTCACTTTATCTAGCATTATGCTTGCATTTTACACTTGTTTGGTTTAGCAGTGGATTTCCCTGTGCTCTAAAACAAGTGACACAAGGTAGGCCAAAAGGGTCTTTTGTTCATCTCTTGATTCATGCAATGCTGTATTTTAAAAAGGTCCAACCACACATTGACGTCAATGGTGGCACACATGAAATTTGAAATCCTGAAATAGCTGAAGGGAAATGCCCAGCAAAACAGGCAATGAGGTATCAACTTCGAATCGCTGAATCAATTAAACATGAACACCAGCTTGTGATTTGGAACAAAATCCTTTTTTTAGCCTAGATTCCCTTTAAAAGAAAGGCTGTATATGAGATACACACTGACTAAGTCATTCCATCATGCTGCTTGAGTACTTAATAACACTGACCTAGTTAATCTGAAGCTTTGCTATTTCTTACTATTTTTCTTTTGACCTGAGAGTCTGAAATATCACCATTAAACTGTATAATATACTTACTATAGTTTTTCTCACAAGTTGAATTCTTTCTTGTCGCTGCCTTTCTTCAAAATGTTTCCTGATTTTTTCCCTTTCTTTGTTGCATTCTTCATTTGATAGAGTTTGCGTTTCAGTTCTTTCTTCTCTGAAAAAACAAATTAGTAATAAAAATAACTTCCAGCTATCTGCACAATTGTTTGAATAAAGTATTGGTTTCTAAAGAAACTGTTGGGTTGCATTGACAGTCAAGTGAAAGACCAACAACCTTGGACACAAGGGTTGGAAAAATTCATTTCATACGCATTTTGCCCCTCTCTACCCCTGTGCAATGTCGACAAAACACCTTCATCTGACACAAGTTTTCATTTTACCACTTTCCAACATTGAAAGGGGGAAAGGGAGTGCTGGCACTTATTCTCTAGGTATGATGGTTATGAGTTTATGTTTTTGGCATTTTCCGACACAATTTGTCCATGGGTGTCTAAATTTTCACATACATTAAATGCCCATAACTTACACTGAAATTTACAAATTCGAACCAAACACGGCTCACGCACTATGTATTACTTGCTCAATAAAATGACTGCTAATATCTGGTTATGGCCTAATTCCCTAACTTGATTCGCTGCTTTTGTATTCCTTCAAAATTGAGGTTTTTAGCATTTCTACCTCATGTAACAAGCAATAATATATATCTCAGCTAAAAATATCTCAAAAAAAGCCCATTTTTCCTCCAAAACGTTGTACGTAGGTAAGAAGTACTTTAAGATCTTTCAAAGGGTGTTGCTATGGGCTATTGTCATTCCAGACACACCTTTTAGGGTCAGAAGGCACGGTTTACATTGGTTTTTGAACAAGTGGTTATGACGCAACTGTGACGTCATAGATATGGTTAGAAAAAATTGTTTAAGGAATTGGAAACAGGATACCGACCTGTATAAGAATACATCTTTTGCTGTACTTATAACTTGTCTGTCACAAATTTCAAATGGTTTACAAATGCTAAACCCTTGAATATAAAAGAAATCTTTTACCTTTTCTTTATAACGCAGTTGTAAACCATGCAATTTATGTTACAATCAGCAAGAGTCTGTAATTTTATGTTCTTTTGTGTGCGTAGTTGAATACCGCCATCAAAATGATTCACAAACTGAGCTGTGACGTCATTATGTCCTTTTCAATGGTAATCTGTTTCAAAAGCGTCACACAACACTGTAACACGTTGGTAAAACAGTGCAAATTTGTGCCGCTCATTGGATTTTGAAAAGAACACAAAGATCGACATGTATTCGTTGTGTTCTGGTGAGAATTGTGTTAAAATAGATGGCAATCAATTTCAAAAAGCCAGCATGTCTTACATGTCACACCAATGCTACTCTGTGAAATTGACTGACATCATTGTGATGTCACCCGTTGATCACATGATCTCCATTTAACCCCTAATTCATATTTAGCTTCTGGCTGTTACAGAAGCCAAATATCGTTGTGATTAGTCAAGTGAAAAGGCGTTGACAGAGTTGGTCACAAGGGTTGAAAAAATTCATTTTATACACATTTTGCCCCTCCCTACACACAAGTTTTCATTTTACCATTTTCCAACATTGAAAGGGGGAATGGGGGTGCTGGCACTTATTCTCTACATTACGGTTACGAGTTTATGTTTTTGGCATTTTCCAACACAGTTTGTCCATGGTTGTAGCTATCTATGAACATGTAGCTATTTATGAGCTTGATCAATGACAACAGTATCACAGCAAATAAACAGAAGAGAGGGTATGGGCCAGCATGCAGATTTTATCTTTACCTTACCATGAGGTGTGTGTTTCTGGTGAAGGAATTCAGATACTCTTTAACCCATTGAGGCCTCTGCCGGCCGTAACCAGCTGTGACGAGTGTTAGCCTCTGCTCCACTGCTGGCAAAATGTGGCATCACCTACACTCAAGTTTTGCAGCAGGAAAACATCTTTCCAATGATACCAGATCAGAGTGATAGAGTCAATTGAGTGTGAAATGAGGTGTCAATGGGTTGAAAGGAAATTGCAAAACAAGAATGAAGACATTTTGTTGAGGAGGTCACTTACAGTCCTCCATAATATACTGTACATGCCATAAGGGTCAACTTGTTTGAAGATGTAAAACGTTATTATAAAACAATGAAACAAAAATGCAGCAGGGCTGACTGGTTAGGGAACCAAACTTAATTTGAGGTCTAGAGTTCATGGGTTCATGGCTGGCTTTGACCACATGCTGGTGTCGCTTTTAGTAGTCTGGCTATGGCCACCACAGGTGTCAATATGCAAAGTTGAATTCAGTGGTGGATCTAGGGGAGGAACTCGGGGGCCTGGGCCCCCTTCCCACCTTATTTTCGGTAAAAAAAGAAGACATGACAGAGGGAAGAAAAGCCAGCAAGGCAAGTAAAACAACACCCCCTCCCCCCCCCCCCCCCCCCCTCCCGATCTGCCACTGGTATGTACTGATTGATTTAGAAGTTATATCTGCATTTCGAATGCTTATTTTAAAAAGGCCAGTTCTTAACAGAAGTGTAATTGTGGCATAATTCTGTTAAGACATCACCTGAAATAGACCCGAGTCATGAAATTTNAGGTCTGGATCTGCGCGGATCCAGACTGGAATTAAGTTGATAGCTTATGCTACAGTGTCTCTGTGTTCTGTTTCGAGGGGGGTGGGGGGCTTCCTCACAGGTAAGGTAAAAACCGCTGTGCGTATATCAACCGAGACATGCTGTAAAGACTGCAGGTAATTTTATCTTCATCGAGCTATGAGCGCGCGAGAGTTGTGTCAGTTGTTGCGTATACAGGAAATTTATCAATATATAAGCTTAAATCACCTTAATTTCTGAATTCTCTCGTTCTCTAGTTTGACACTCTCGATAACCCTGTCATGTATCTCTTTCTCCAGTTGTCGAAGCTCGCCTTTCTTGCGCTTCTCATCGTTGAGATACTTTTCCTGCTCAAGCCGATTCACGCGGAACTCTTCGGCAATTTCGTTCACTTTGAGGTGATATACGGCATGCAGCTGTTTCCCGGTCTCCCTCTTTCTTATCTTCTCCTCTTCCTCTTTCGCTGTTAGTTTTTCTACCTCATTTTCAACCGTTGTAGCAACGCAGATCCGACGTAGGTTCAGGTATAAAATAGGACAAGCGGAATGATTAGAATATAACCTGTTCCAGAGGAAACTCAACGGCGATTTGGCTGCTATCGCGACCGCCATCTTGAAACCGCCATGACAAATGGCCATATCGGGTGGTCAGCAGTCAAGAGCAGTCAAGAGCAATGGAACGTAGGTACGGGGTGTATGGGGACATCAATTGTACCGACAAACATTAGACCATTCCGTGCCGGAAGCATATCACTTAAGGTAATTCCTCTGAAATAAAAGTGACGATAGATTTTTGTTCAAACTTTGTCCACTGAATATTTGTCATATGATAACTTCAATTTTGAAATA